CTGGGTCTTTTGTTTTGGTTGTACAAGTATCTTGACACTTTTATGTGAGTAAATGTCTTGCTTTTCCCCTTAGAGATCGGACTGATTTAGAATCTAGAGATCTGACTGATTTAGAATCTACAGATTGGACTGATTTAGAATCTAGAAATGCTTGAGAGAAGTCAACTACACTTCGAACTAGTTCCTTGGCATTGCTGTTCTTCATTTAACTTTTGGTTCTGGAAGTCATTTTGCTTTCTAGTGTGAGGTCAAGCTCTAGTTGAAAATTTTCTCTATTTTCCCTTCTGTAGCTTTATAATACGTGTGCTGCTTTGAGATGAAGCGTGTGCTTTTAAAACTGCCCAAACCCCACTGTGGTCTCATCATTGTGACACCCAGTGCGCCTCTTAGTCAGAGCTGAACTGCCCCTTAGGGTTTCTCAGGCTGCACACCTTGACCGGAGCAGACCATCCCATTTTTCTCCTGGGAAGTGGCAGGTGGGGTCAAGACACAGCCTTTCTGGTTAGTAGCCTAGCGCTTAACCACGGTACCACCCAGGCTGTTTGGAATGCCAACCACATGGAAAATCTGCACTGGACACTTGTCTTGTCCATAGGTAGGAAATTTCCCCAGGGACTTCAGTCCCCTGTGCTCTAATGGGTGACAGGTATGTCTCACCCACTAGTGGAAAGTTTCCCAAGGGCTGTGATGGCTAGAACAGTTTAGAGATTCATCTTGGCTGAGGGTGTCTAGCATTCAGTAGGCGCTCAATAAGTGCTTGCTGCAGGGTGTTAATAGGTGCTCAATAAGTGATTGTCAAAAGACTTTAATGGACACTCAATAAGTGTTTGTGAAGGACTTTAGTAGGTGTGTAAAGAGTGCTTGTTGAAGAATTATAGTGGGTGGTCAATAAGTGCAGTTGAAGGACTTTAGTAGGTGCTCAATAAGCAAGCACTTCTGGAAGGATTTTAGTAGATGCTCACTTAATAAGTGGTCTTTGCAGGACACTACAGGTGCTCTGTACGTGCTTTGTGAAGAACCTTAATGGGCGCTCAATGAGTGCTTGTTGAGGGCTTGTTTCTGAGTGCTGCCTTGCAACTGCTGTGACCTGTCTTTGGCAAGGACTGAAGACCCAGGGTCTTCACGCTGTGAAGCATCAGACCCATCCAGCGCCTCCAAAGGACACGTGCTGTCAGCGCCGCCTCCAGAGGTACTGATCCAGGGCGTCGGCATGAGGCGGAAGAAGTGCATTTTTAAAAGGGTCGCACTTTCCAGCCGAGGCTGCTGCTACCAGGAGCCCACTTTTAAGAACCTTGCTCCAGAAAAAAGTTTGTTAAGGTGACGGAACAGGTGGTTGGCTGGTGACTCAAGAAGGTTTCCATTTTTTTGTTTTTAATAAAGTGAAGCGTCATAAGCCCTGATTGACTCTCACCTTAACTATTTCATTGAACTAAAAACATAAAAATACAGAGGGGCCCTCATTTGGCGTTTGCTTTTTGTATTTCCAGAAGCAACCACATCATTCGCCATCACCACAAATGACGTTTCTCCGGAGACACAGACCTTTGCTGGTAATGCCCTTCGTCTAAGTCCTCTCTCTAGCTGCTGGGGGGTTGGCGCCCAACGAGGGCAGGGCAGAGTTGAACTGTCCTGGCGGGTTTCCTAGGCTGTACAGTCTTTGTGGGAATAGAAAGCCTCCTCTTGTTCTGGGGGAGCAGCTGGTGGATTCAAACTACTGACCTTACAGTCAGCTGTTCAGCGAATTGTTCTTTCTGCCCACCGGGCTCCTTCTTAGTCCTGAGTGCTGCGCTGAGCAAGGTGGTTGGCTTTGACAGACAGCAGCATATTCTTTCACAGCTGGGAAGGTTGGGGTCAGGGTTGGTGGGAAGGGGAGGCGTTCTCTCTGTATTGGCTCTAAGGTTCTTGTCTCTTCCGTTTGCTTCTTTAGAGAGCTCTGTGTGGTTTGGCAAGAATCTCTCCTCTCTCTCTCTCTCTCTCTCTCTCCACACACACACACACACACACACACACCTTCTCTTTCTGCTTGCTCACTTTCTTTAAATCTCAAAAGAGACGGACTCAAGATCAGTTCTCCAAGTAATCCTTCTCCATCAAGAAACCAAGGCAAGCCACTCCCCAAAGAGACGAGCTCCCTCAGGCATCAGAATTCAGTCCATGCTGCCATTGTTAGGTTTCCTGGAGTCAGTTCTGACCCATGGCGACCCAACACAACAGAAGGAAACAGGTCCCCAAATCCCGTGTCTCCTGACAATGGGTCCTGTTCTGGAGCCCCTTGTTGTAACCCTGGTATCAAGCCATTTCCTTGAAGGCCTCCCCCTCCTGCACCCCGTAACACCCTGGGAACTCCGGGGCTGGTAGTCCGTGCAGAGGTCACCCCTAAGGAGTCCAGAGAGATTGCTACAGAGAATCGGGCTGGGTTTCTTCACGGGACAGGACCGGGCCCACCCGGACCCTGACCCCCTGTGGGGGTTGCTGGCTCGCTGCCCGAGGCCTTCCCTCAGAGGTTGTCCCACTGGCCACCTGACGGGTCTCCATCCCAGCCTCTGATTTTCTCCAAAGAAAAAAAATGAGAGAAAACTACGAAGGGGACCAATGGGCTCTCTGCCTTTGCGTCCATCAGCCGGTATCGGGGTTCAACACGGACAATCGTCTAATCTTTAGCAGGACATGTGCAGACACAAAGGCACTGATTATGAAACATGGTTTCATTGAACTTGATGCTAAGAGATTGAAAGTGTTCTTTTAAAATATCTCACTTCATGGGACTAGTTTGTTGTTGGTAGGTGCTCGCGAGTCGGCTCCGACCCACAGCAACCACCCGCACAACAGAACAAAACACTGCCCGGTCCTGCGGTGTCCTCATGACAGTTCCCAGGCCCGAGCTCCCTGAGGCAGCCCCGTGTCCATCCATCTTGAGGGCCTTCCTATTTTTCGCTGCCCTTCTACTTTACTCAAACAGATGTCCTTCTCTGGAGAGCGGTCTCTCCTGATGCTATGTCCAAATATGTAAGACAGTCCCTTACTTCTTCCGACACAGATCCGTTTGTCTTTTTAGCAGTCTGCGGTATGTCCAGTACTCTTCTCCAGCACCACAATTTAGCGTTGCATTTGCTAAACTAGCACCTGGTAGGAACCCAGCAGACCTTGAGCTTGTTGAGTCCAATGTCAGAAGCAGAGTAAGAATCCTTTACAGCAGCTGCTCTCAGTCGGTGGGTCGTGACCCCCTTGGGGGGGTGGGGTGTGAATGACACTTTCACAGGGGTTGCCTAGGACCATCGGAAAACACATATTTCCTCTGGTCTTTGAAACCGAGACACCCCTCCTCTAGCTGTCTCCCGGAGGGTCCGCCCACATGCAGATACGTCCACCTATGTATGAGTACCCGGCATGAAGACTGTTACCCATGCTACACCATGCTTCAAGACAAAATGCCATTTATTTGTCATTAGAAACAAATCTTTCACAATATATAATTACATATTGTTTTTGTGATGAATCCCTATGCTTTAATGATGTTCAATTTGTAACCATGAAAATACATCATAACAGTAACTATATGACAGTGATGAAGTAGCAACGAAAATAATTTTATGGTTGGGGTCATCACAACATGAGGAACTGTATTAAAGGATTAGGCATGAGGAAGGTTGAGAACCACTGCTTTAGAGGGATCTATCCATGTGAGGTTACCACACCTCCACTTCAGGGTCAACTGCACTGATGTAAAAGTGGGTTCTTCATTAGGACCCCTGGGCGTGAAAACCATATGCCTGGTGTTGCTTTTATTCCTTTACAGCTTCTAAATCCGATTCTATTAGGGTTCTCTGTTTCAAAAATAATACCCTGTGTGGTTAGACCTTCCCCCCCTACTATCTAGTGTGATTTCTATGGAAGAGTCGGCAGCACCCTGGGAACATTGCCTTTGTGAACTTCACGAAAGGTGCAGGCAGCTCTCGGTGAGGCAAACAGTTCGCAGGCTCAGCTGCTGGTGGGAAAGTTGGGGATGCAAGTCCACTCAGAGGCACCTCGAAAGACAGGCGTGGTGGCCTACTTCTGGAGGACGAGCTGCGGAAAGCCCGAGGGAGGTCAGTTCTGCGGACCCACGCGGGGCCACCTGGGCTGAAATAGGCCTGGCTGCGGCTGGCAAACACCAGCAGATCTGTCTGGGGAGAAGCGCCGGGTGCTCCTGATTGGCGCAGAGGGCGGGACTTCGTCTCAGGTCCTTTGCACATGGAATCAGGAGAGACCCTTCCCTGGAGAAGGACACCTCGCTGTAACGTAGAGGGGCAGGGAGAACGAGGAAGACCCTCAGCAGGACAGGCTGACACTGTGGCTGGCACCACCGGCCCAAGCACAAGAACAATGGTGAGGCTGGCTCTGGATCCGGCGGCGGCGGCAGCGTTTCCTCTGTGCTACTGTGAGTCGGCACCAAAATGGCATGGATGGGTGTGTCCAGGCACCCACGGCTCTTCAGCGACACGTTAAGCAGCAGACATGCAGGATCGCAGCTACCTTCTTCCCCCACGTTGGTTTTCCCTCATCGCACCCTCACGTGCGCATCAGTCAACCAGGGTCCTGGTTTATGTCCAGGTACGTGGGGACACCATATTGTGCGGCACTGAACTGAATGTTATTATATTTTGGGGCAGTGCATTCATAATTACGGAGATATAACTTTGCTAAAATTTCCTCAAGAAACATGCATGGAGAGTTGTTTTGCTTTACGTTTTAAGTGCAGCCCACATGTTGGAAGTGCTACTCATTTTGCTTCGTGTCAAGTGCACTGAAGTTTTTGATGCTTTGGCAAGTGTGGTAACACCCCAGGTCAGACCCGCAGCTGTAAAGCCTCCCGTTAGCGGATTGCTAACTCGAAACCTTTACGTGCCTCTGAAAATGACCTCAACATCCTTGGCATCTCACTTGGCAAGGACACTTCCTCCCAGGACCAAGCTAGGCAGGTTGAGACCCCAGGGAACACGCTTCTTAAGGGAGAGGTGATTATGAACCAGCCAACCCCAGAGGTCCAAGTTCACCTGTACCAGGTGGTGCAAGGTGAGAGCGAGTGTGCAGGAGAGGAGGGTGCAGCAGAGCTGAGGTCTGGAGCAGGTGTGGGAGTTGGTGAGGCAGCAAGGGAAGGCGGGTGTTGCTCTATCACTCACTGGTACTCGCTATCCGAAACTCAGGGGGATCAAAAACGCCTACTCCCCTGCTGGCTGCTTAAAACCCAAATCGAACCAGTCGCCTTGTAGTCAATTTCTGTGTGTCTGCAGGGAGCCACGCTCCCCAGAACCGGCACCGGTTGTTTTCCAGAAGTCCAGCTCCAGGTGTCTTGGGTAGATGCTCCCTGCCAACCTTTGGGTTAGCAGCCTTGTGTTCACCAACTGGCATCTACCCCAAGATACCTGGAGCTGTGTTAGTCCAGGTAGACTAGAGAAACAGACCCAGGGAGACTCATATATGTACAAGAAAGAGTTTCATATTGAAGGAAAATTATACCGTATATGCTCATGTATAAGCCGAGTTTTTCCGCCCATTTTTAGTGCAGTTTTTGTGGTAAAATTAGGTGCCCCGGCTGATATTTAGGTCAGTTTATACTCAAGTATATACGGTATATTAAGAAATCATCCCAGCCTAGTCCAGATCAAGTCCATAAGCCCGATATTAGCCCATATGTCTAATACTAGTCCATAAATTTCTCTTTAGACTCGGTGCATGCAATGATGCCAAATGCAGGAAGATCACAGGCCAGTGGGTGCAAAGTCTTATGGATCCAGTGGCAGTGGAAACATCTCAGCTCTGGCGTGGGTCTCCATGTGGCCCCTCCAGTTCCAGGGCTCTGGCTGCCATCAGTGTAGCTTCATGTGGCTTTCGGTAGATGCCAACTCCCAACCTCTCGATTAGCAGACACATGTGTTAGCCATTTGTACCACCCGGGGACTCCCCACCCTCCCCACTTAGCCACCCCAAAGTGGTGTCTAGTCAGGCTGGTGTCTCGACAGGAGGCTACCATTAGCTCTTATTTCATGAACTGTGTCCCTGACTTGCTTGCAGAAGCTTTGAGGGCAACGACCATGAACAAGAAAGTTTGGGAAGTGCCTGCTGTTGGTGAGGGAGGCTGTCTGTCTTTCAGGGCCGTGGGCTAGATAGCTGCAGTCAGAGCAGGGAGCTGGATGGCTGCAGTCAGATTCGGTTCTGGTTGGCCCCTCAAATCTTCACTTAAGTCAGGGGTGGGGAACGTGCGGCCCACAGATCAGGCAAGACCTGTGCAATCCTCAACACTAGCTAACCTCACACGTCCCACCAATGGGACGCGTTTCCAGCCGTCACATTAGGGATGGGTTGAGAAGTTTGCCCGTGTGTCTTACGAGGGATGTTAGAAACATCCAACTGGCCCTTGGCAGAAACATGGTCCCCCATGTCTGATCTAAATCAAGCTGGAAGTGGGAGAAGCAAGTCTTCAGATGCCATTCACACATCAGCCTCTGGAGGAGACTGGCCAGGCCATGAGCGGACACCGTAAGCAGGGAACAATCTCTGCTTTTTGGTGTCCTTCACTCTGCCACCGTCCCCTCACTCTGGCCATTGGCTTGGGGGCAGTGAGGCGGCACAGTGAGAGCTCAGATACGGATTCTCTTTGAAAGCTCTTCAACCCCCTCCAAGAGGGATGGGGGCAGGACACAGGACTCGTGTGGCCGAGTCATGGAGAGGAGGGAGAGGAGGCACGACCAGGTGCCGCTGTGTTCCGTTCTATGTAAGGTCCTCACGCGTCAGAGCTGCCTTGATGACACGGAGCACCAACAGGGCAGGAGAGCACGTCCTGGGATGATGAGAGAAGCTGCGAGCTGCTGATACCTGCGCAGAGGTGGACTCTCGGTGGTGGATGGCAGAGAAGCACAGACAGCCTTTTAAAGCCACCATGATGAAGAAGTTATCTTGTGTTGGAACAGAGCCATCCCATCGTTAGAAAGGACAGATGGGTTCACTGTCAAGGCATGCGTGCGTTTGAGGGTCACGGAAAGTAGCATCAGCACGAACGGAGAAGGACGGGTCCCTGAATGTCCCTGTTTAGTTCAGCGCTGTGCATGAGCATGGTTGTCAAGACTCTGAAGCAGGGGTCCTCAAACTACGGCCCGTGGGCCACATGTGGCCCACTGAGGACATTTATCCAGCCCACCGGGTGTTTTTGCCCCATTTTGTTTTTTACTTCAAAATAAGATATGTGCAGTGTGCATAGGAATTTGTTCGTAGTTTTTTTTAAACTATAGTCCAGCCCTCCAATGGGTCTGAGGGACAGTGAACTGGCCCCCTGTTTAAAAAGTTTGAGGACCCCTGCGAAGCTTGGTGCTTTTGAATTTGATCGAATCCTGGCCTTGACCACCATGGGGCTAAGCCAGAGGCCCGGAGCATGGAAATGGGGTTTGTGGGTGTCCTCTGGGCTGGGTGTGAATGACAGCTTCTTCCAGGCATGTCCTGAAAGGACAGGGACAGGGACGGTGTGTCAGAGCAGCTGACCCACATGTTTCTGTGGTCCCTGTCGAAAGGATGTTCTAAGTCCACCACAAATGGCTTCTTCATTTTCAGTGTGGTGGTGTGGAGCTACCGGCCACCTCCCGCAGGGCAGCTTGGCGGGCTTGGCAGACCACACACCTCTTGGGGAGACTGGGAGTGGGAAGCGGACATCTGTGATTTACAGAGTAAGTCCCCTCCCCTGCCTTTGGAAAGAATTCTTTTGGAGAAATGCTAAGTTCTGAGCTCTGACTGCTGCTCCTGACGGGCCTGCATTTACAAAGAATCAGAGACGTTCTATCAAATGCCTTCTTCCTGTGTTTGCCTGGAAGAGAATGGGGGCACGAGGAAAATGGCTTTACGGAAATTTCCCTAAGATCTGTAGCAAAGCGAAGCTCTTTACATTGAGCAAATTTGGGGCCCTAAAATACCACGAAAGGCGAGTGAATGCCCTCACCCAGCACCCATCCTTTTAGCACAATGTGATGGCTCAGGTTCTTGCTGCCAAACACCCCCGTTGAAGCCCTGCTCCTTGACGGATAAGTGACCGAGAGACCACACTTCCTTTTTTCCTTAGAAAAGTCAGTCCTCTTACTATTTGAGCCTGGATTTAAGAGACTGTACAGAGAAGAGCATTATCTAAGGACTCATAGTTTGAGATTCCAATAGTACAGCCAACTCCACCGGCATCAACAGAATCTAGATTCCCCCACAACGTTGGCAGCAGAGACCAGTGTCTCTCACACACTGTCATCGGTTGATCCTGACTCACAGTGACTCCGTGGGACAGGGTAGAACTGCCCCTGTGAGTTTCTGAGACTGTAGCTGTTTACGGGAGTAGAAAGCTCCCGCTTTCTCCCGAGGAGCGGCTGGTGGTTTCAAACTGCCGACCTTGCAGATGGCAGCCCAACACTGGGCCACTGGGACTCCCAAGCGTGTCTAGTCACGTCAAAAGCTCTCCTAGAATCGCAATGTAATACGGGGGCAATGCAACTAGAAACCTGAAGGATGCGGGGTCATTCCAAGATGCCATCTTTATTTCGGTCAATCCCACCATTCTTCTCATGCCCTCTTGTTAGTCTGTCTGCCTTTGCATCGTTCATCACAGCATTTAATGAATAATGACCCCAAACGATCGTTTCAAGAACTAGGAAAACCAAAGTCTCTGTGAGCTCTTAGTGCAGCTTGGATATTTGAAAGGCTCCAGTGGATCCAGTGGGGTCCTGGCAGCCCATTGGGTCACCCAATTTGAATTCACTAGCCACTCACTCCTTGGGAGAAAGATGAGGCTTTCTACCCCGTAAAGAGTTACAGTCTCCGAAACCCACAGGGATAGCTCTCCCCTGTCCTGCAGGGTCTCTGTGAGCCAGAATGGACTCTGGCCATGAGTTTGGGTTTTTGTCAGTTTGTGAATGGACTCATGTGGTGACGGCAAGAGCAAGCGAGTTTTATTCTGTATGCATTCTAACACGAACTGTGATGGCTCTTCTTTGTAAGTGCTCAGAGGATACATGACAGCAGGGACAGATGGACGCCTACCAACAGTTAGCGTGACTGGACATCCAGTGCACACGGTGTCCTTCTGAGATGGAACCTGAAGGAAGGAGGATGCCATTTGGAGAGTTTTTGCCTGACTTCTCCTGTGATAAAGGGCCAGGGTTCTGGAAATTTCAATTTGCATCAAAATCGAATGGAGACTTCTCTGGGTATGAAGCGGAAGGAACGGGTATCTCCCATCCAAATGTTTACCTCGGGGTCACCTCCAGCTCACTCTGTTCTGTGTGGATTCGACTCTATTCCAATTTCAGATGGGAGGATGCGCTGAACTTTCCACTCAGAATCCTTGACAACAGTTTAAACTGTCTTCTGGTGTCCGGTGCTCTGTCTCTCTCTGTCTCTCTCTCTCTCACTCTGTCCTATGTCTGTCTCACTGTTTCTCTCCCCGCCTCTCTCAGTCCAGAACTATTATTATTTCCTGTTACTCTAAACTGCAATGTGAGGGGCTCAGTAAAGAGGCATGTACTTTATTACATCTGAAATTATTTCAACACTGCTATCCAATACACTTGCTTTATTTAACAATGGCAAAAACCAAACCCAAACACCAAGTATGCTAGTCACACAGCCCAAGACTGGACCGCAGTGCCCCCTGGTGTGACTGTCATGTAAAGACTAGCTTTAGACTCCCAAAGATGCCTGATGGCAGTGATCACTCATCGGGCTGCTACCCACAGGTCAGGAGTTTTGAAACCACCAGGCGCTCTGAGAGAGAGTGACAGTCTCAGAAACCCACAGGGACAGCGCCACCCTGTCCTACAGGGTTGCTGTGAGTGGACATGGACTTTCTGGAGTGAGTTTGGTTTGTGATGATCAGAGATCATTTATCCACAACAGAACCTCTTTTCCAAGATGAGTATTACTGTATATGCTCCTGTATAAGCCGAGTTTTCAGCACATTTTTTTGCAGTTTTTGTGGTAAAATTAGGTGCCTCTGCTGATAGTCAGGTAGGCTTATACTCAAGTATATATGGTACTTTTTTCTAGCTTGCTCAGTGCCCTAGACTACAGACTATGGTAAGACCAACATTCTTTCCTTTTCTTCTGGAATTTTCATCCTTTGGGACAGTGGGTTCTGATATTGCTGGGTTGGTCCCTTGAGGCTTGGAGGGAGTCTTGAACCACAGTTGGAGTGCCTGCCTTTCAGGGAGTGCAGATGGAGAAGGTACAGGAGAGGGGGTGGGTGGGCGCCTAGACCCTAGGTGCACCCCGGATGTTCACTCAGCCAACCCCACCTGACCTCCATCCTTCTCTCTGCCACTCTGCATTCAGCAAATAGAATTAGCTTCGGCTTGGTGTTGGGAGAGAGAGGTTATCACGAGGGGAGGAACAAGCCAGGGCCGCCTTTTCTCACCAACAAGGACAGATACCTTGTTGTAACTAACAATGACCAAGCACTTGCTATAGGGCCCTGCACAACCCGCTTCCCGTACCCCAAATGATTAGCTCTGTGCCGGGGGGTGGAGGCCTTTCAAAAAGTTCATGGGGAAAAAAATGGAATTGAAAGAGAATAGAAATTCCCCAGCAGATATTAAAAAATCAACTATTGGTTGGCTTGTAATCAATGCAGGGCTAAGGCACCTATTGAGAGCCCCTGGGTGGGTCACACAGTGAAACACCCGGAAGGCTGGTGATTCACACTGGGCCTCAGGGGAGTCCGAAGAAAGGCCTGTGACCAGCTTCCACAGGGTCCCAGCCATGAAGCCTCTATGGAGCGATGATGTGCTAAAACACACAAGGGTGCCGTGGTCAGAATCACCTGGAGGGCGTGTGTGTGTGTGTGTGTGTGTGTGTTTTGATGCACACAGTGACTGTCACAATCACGAAGCCTGCTTCAGATGAAAAGACTGGTTCGCAGTTGGCGTGTAACCAGCTGTCTGTCTAAGGTCACCTTGCTGGTAAATGCTGGGCGGGGATTCAAAGCCAGGACTGGTGCCCTGGGGCTCATGTTCCTTGTCTTGGGTCTCTGCTAACGGGAGAGTATGCAGACTCCTGCATCTGAGTTTGATCAGACAGGGTCCCTCAGGTGCTCCCCCGAGGGCATCGGACACCTGTCGGAGCCTCTGGCTCTGTCCAGGCCACTCTGTCCCTCACCAGGATGTCTCCTGAGGGTCCCAAAATGGCCTAGGAGGCTTTCAAGGGGGCCGCTTTCTGACCAGCTGACACCCAGAGGAGAGTGTGGGTGGACCTTCCAGGAGACTTGAGCAGGCTCATCTGGAATGAGGGCTTGGACTGGAGAGGTGGGGCTCTGCGAGCCAAGGGCCTGGGAGGAGGCGAGCGGGTGAGGGAGCAGGAGTCCAGGTGGAGAGAGGAGCGCGAAGCAGGCCGGAGGAGGGGAGCGGGTGCAGACAGCTTCTCCCTCTATCCCATGCAGCTCTGCCTCTGAGGCTGGTGGACGGAGGGAGCCCGTGTCAGGGCCGCGTGGAGCTCCTCTACCAGGGCTACTGGGGCACCGTGTGTGACGACGGCTGGGACCTCCAGGATGCAGGCGTCGTCTGTCGGCAGCTGGGCTGTGGTCGGGCAGTGTCAGCCCTGGGCGGGGCCCACTTTGGTGAAGGCTCAGGGAACATTCTCCTGAGTGATGTGTCCTGCTCAGGACGGGAGCCCCACGTGTCCAGCTGCCCCCACAATGGGTGGTACCAGCACGAATGTGGCCACAGGGAAGACGCCGGTGTCGTGTGCTCAGGTAGTACAGCTACCACATGTACTGTCCGGTACGCCGTCTGAGGGCAGACCCTTCTGCATGTCCCCACCATGGCGCATTTGAATAGGGAGCCCTGGTGGTGTCGTGGTTACACGCTGGGCTGCAATCTGCATGGCTGGCAGTTCGAAACCACTAGCAGCCCTGTGGGAGAAAGACTGGGGTTTTCTACTCCTGTGCACAGCCACCGTCTCAGAGCCCCCTCCCCTGCCAGGGGGTTCGCTGCGAGTCTGCATTGACTCGATAGCAGTGAGTCTGATTTTCCTCTGGTTCACAGTCAACAGGGCCTTGCTGGGTGACTCGGGTGTGACTGCCCCTGTTTACAGAGGAAGGGGACTGAGCCTCTGAGAGTTCAAGCAGCACACCTGCTGGTTCCTGAGAACAGTCTCCTGGCCAGCAGTGGCCAGGGATGACGGACTCCTGCGTAGTGGTTTCTTCCTCGGTAAAGACCGGAGGATGTTGACTTCAGCATCAAATTCTTCATACTTGAATCTGTACTAAACTATGTGAGAGCCCTCCCTGGTGGCGTAGTGGGTTACGTGTTGGTCTTCTAACCACAAGTTCAGCAGTTTGAAACCACTAGTCTCTCCTCTTGTGAAGAGTTAGTCTTGGAAAATTACAGAGGCAGTTCTACCCTGTCCTGCAGGGTTGCAATGACGAGTGAGTTCTGGTTTATCCTGAAATCGGGCTCAGGAGTGAGTGAGTTTCCTTTGATGTGGGCTGAAAGGCAAAAGTTAATCTAGGGGGAATTCTTCCTGACCTTCACTTTGCTCCTGACCCTGACCCAGGGAATCCCACGACCGCATTTCTCACAAGTTCACACAGTGCTCTGGACTCCCTCAAACCAGACCCTTGGGGTCCATTATGACTTACATCAACCCTAGAAGACCCAGTAGAACTGCCCCCTGGAGACCCCCAGGCTGTGCCCTTGATGGAAGCAAACAGCCCCATCTTTCTTCAGAGGAGCCAGTGGGTTGGAACTAACAATCGTTGAGTTATCAGCTGAGCACTTGACCCTGTGCCCCCCTGACGTTTTCAAAAATGTCATCGTTGCTTTGTGGTAAAAGTGCACATAGGAAAACGTCTGCCATCTCAGGGTTCTTGACATGTCGGATTCCCTGCCATTAATTACATTGTCATCATGGATGCATATCATGCTGCTCATCACCACCATTATCCATTCCCAAGTCCCCCCATCACCCGCCAAGAGGCCTTTGAATCTGCAGTGAAGCCTCTGGGGGGAAGGGCCACTGAGTGTCCCCCAAGCAGAGCTGCTTACTTGATGGCCCATCTTCAGACACTGCCACTCCCCCAGCCCTGTGCCATGGGTGTCAGGTGTGCAGATTACAGGAATGGCACCAAGGTTGTGCCTGGCTTCTGGGAGCAGCAGATACAGGGCGTTGGAGTTGGCTCTTTGGAGGAAGCGGGACAGTAGTCTGTGGGTGGGATCTCGGGGAGCAGAGGGGGGCAGGAAGGAGAAAAGACCACGCGAGCCTGCGATTGGGGTAGGTTGAAATCCATGCCAACAAAACGAATACAAAACGAAATGAAGCACCCAGGGAAAACAAGACTTACTTGCAGGTCGAGTTCTAGGGGAGGTGGGTGACTGCTCAGCGGCCCTTCGGCTGGCTTCCATCAGAGGGGACTGCCCACCAGGAGGCCTGGAGGGGGGTGGTGTGTGTGGGGTGGGGCTTGGTCAGAAAAGGTGGACACAAGAACAGACCCAGTCTTGAGGATCATGCTCTAGGATGACAGATTAAGAAACATGCCTTGTGTTCTCCGGCTGGCTCCCAGGTGTGCCTCAGCTTCCTGGACCACTCAAGGACTACCCCCACGATTCCACTGCAAGACAGCAAGGCTGAGAAGAGCCTCCTGGTGCCAGGCAGGCTCAGGGGGCCAGAGAGGTGGCGTGCACACTCTAGCCCAGACAGTGTCCCAGTCTCAGACAATCTGGGAACATTCCTGTGACCAACTGGCATCCAGTTCACTTCCTGGCTGAGTGAGCTGTGGGGAAGTTCTCAAGAGGGGGCAACAAGACCACAGGACAGAGGAGACCATGTGGCCGCCGTTTGGTCTAACCCATTTGTGGGAATGGGTCCTCTCTCCAGTGGGGCTGGTGACATGTTTCCTATCCTCTCTGCCCCTGACAGGGTGGAAATGGGGATATCTCCCCACAGTTCTCTCTTCTCAAGCTTGCCTAGAGTTGGGCTGAGCCGGAAGAAGCATCGGACCAGGGAGTGTTGGTCAACACTGCCCTCGCAAGCATTCATGAGGACCCCATAGCCACAGGCAGGGTTCACAGGATCTCCGAACATGCATGTTTCCTCTGGAGGCGGTCTGGGGCCTCTGCACACCAGGAGGAGGGCCCTGTGTGGTCACTGCGAGGCCTGGGTATCCCTGGAGATCAGGCTGGCCTGGCCTTCTTGGGCTCTGAGGCCATGGGTACATGATGGGAGGAAGGTGTTTCCGCGACCCCCGAGGCCAACACCGAAGACCTAGCCCGGGGGTAGAACAGAGCAAGGACATCCAAGTGTCTTAGGGTCCATCCCCAGGGGGAGTTTGGCCTTGGCATGTTGTCCAGATTGGGAGGTGGGATGCAGCCCTTATAACACAGGGTTCTTGAGCCCCAAGAAGGGGAAGGCGATGACTTACCTTTGCATTCAGAGGACTCTGGCCTACGTGACAAGCACTGGCTAAGGGGAAGCGGGCTTGGCTGACTCATGGTAGAGCATTGGGATTCAAGCCAGATTTCAATAAGAAATTCTTGTGCCCTCTTCTAGGGACAGACCATGGTTTGGTTCTGAGGCTGGTGAATGGACGTGACTGGTGCCAGGGCCGTGTGGAAGTCCTGTACCAAGGCTCCTGGGGCACGGTGTGTGATGACAACTGGGACACCAATGATGCCAACGTGGTCTGCAGGCAGCTTGGCTGTGGCTGGGCCATGTCAGCTCCAGGAAGCGCCCGATTCGGGCAGGGCTCAGGCCAGATTGCCCTAGATGATGTGCGCTGCTCAGGACACGAGTCCTACCTGTGGAACTGTCCCCACAATGGCTGGCTCTCCCATAACTGTGGGCACAGTGAGGATGCTGGCGTCATCTGCTCAGGTGGGTCTCGATCATAACTGAAGCTCCCTCTCTTGCAGTGGGATTTGCCCAGGAAGCAGATCTACTTGTTACCTCCTTCCCACCACTCCAAATCTTTTCTATACTTGGTTGCTCTGAAATTTCATTAGTTTTGCCAAGAATTGTTCATCATTTGAGCTGCCAGGTGTTAAGGTGGTCAATACGGACCACGAACCACACAGGAAGGAACAATTGATTCTTTGTTCACTTCTGGTGACATGCAGGCAAGAGACAAAAGAGAAGCGCTCCGACTCCCTAGGCTTCCATTTCCTCCCATGCAGCAGCAGTGGGCCATATTCACCCTACATGTGGTGGAAATGGGGGGAACACCCAGGAGCCTCCAAACAAGGACTTGCTATGGAGCTGGGGAAGAAGTTAGGGGGAGGCCTGGCTGTGGAAAAGAACTGACCTGGAGTGAGGCAAAGGCCTTCAGCGGAGGCCTCTGAGGAGGACAAGGCTGGGCACAAATGCAGATGTGCCTATTCGCTTGGATGTCCAAGGAGGAATAGAGGCGGTACCCTTGACTGAGAGGCCGTGCATGTGCCTCAAGCCTGACGGTGTTGGGAGAAGATGCGTTCTTCAGGGATCGGCCAGGCACAGCTTGTCATGTAATGCACTGCTGGATCTGAAAGTCCCACCGAATCAATCTGGCTGGCTAAGGGGATTGCTAAAATATTCAAAGTGCTTTTTGGTCAACCTGGCTACTTTCATGCAAGACAAAGGGCTCATTGCCTTGAGGTTGGAGAGAAGGATGCACACATCGGCCTGGCTTCACCTGTTGCCTCCCTCTCAAAGAGGAAGTGGGTGACAAATGCCTCCCGCTCCATGCGGGCCACAGGCTTTGGCTGAGGTTCTGCCCAGCGCAGTTTCCTCGATGCTTGTTTCCTAGGATGACATGGTCAATGCAAAGCGTCTGATTTGACTTTTTTCCCTTCCAGCGTCTCAGTACCAGACCACGCCCTGGCCAGGTGAGTGCTGCTCCTTAGATCATGAGACACCCCCCCGCGTTCCTGCTCACCTCCATAGTCGCAATCAGGAGCTACACAAGGGGTCGTTGATGCTATTTATGATTCACCACGACCTTGATGCCCACAGGTTGTTTAGTTGGGATGAGATGACCTGCAAACCCTTGGCCATCTCATCGGATTGGGTGGGCTGTGACCATTCTGCCCCATTCGCGTAGTTATTAAGTTGCGTTTCTCTGAGTTTTGTGATCTTGGCTCCAAGCCACTGTCCAGAAAAGGCCACTTTCTCTCCCAGGAAACAGTTTCTCAAATCTTGCTGTCTCTGATCTCCAGTGGAAGGTCTCTACACCCAACACGGACCCCACATATGCTCCGTCCTAACCACCTCGCTTTCCTCTTGAGACTGGTGGAATACAGCCACTCCTGCCCCTGGTGATCCAGAATCACGGGTGACACCTTTGTTCCTGGATGAGGTCCTGCACATGGGTGCAGTCTGTGTAGCTCACCACCACACAGAATGTATTATACCGTAAAGCACACATGTTGCATATGAAGCTTTAGATGCCAGTCATGGGAACCCAACTCAAACTTTTTAATCAGAAGGGAATTCAAGGGTGCACATACTGGGATTTCCAAGAATCTCTCTCCTGTATTTTTCTCCGCTCCATTCCCTTATGTGTGTGGATGGATCATGGTTGTGAAAGAGAAGATTCCCTCCTGAAGGGAATCTGCCTGTCTCACTCAAGTCATTGTCTTTGGTGAGAATCCAGACCAGCTGCAGGGACTTAACCTAAAGGGTAGACATGGATGAGCAATTCTCCTGGGCTCATCTACGGACAGAATCAGGTTCAATTCTGAGGCTGGTGCATGGTGCTGATGAAGACAGGGTCATGTGGAGGTCTTGAGTCCAGGCTTCAGGAGCACAGTGGGTGGTGACACTGGGTCCCCAGTGGTGCCAGCATAGCCTCAGTTGGGTGCAGCTGAGCCAAACCCATTCCAGGAAGCGGCTGGACCTGAGAGCTTACATGTAATCTAGCCAAGTGAAAGATTGGTCCCAGGTCAGGTGGGGAAGTATAATTCAGGTTCAAGGCTAATCAATTTGAAATGATGGCGTTACCTGGTGCTACCCCCTCACTGGATGTTGGGTAAACAATGACCCCCAATCCGTGTATCACGCACCCATCGAGTGAGTGTCTGACTGGCTCTGCTTCTTGAGCCTTTGCCTCCCCAGGTGACATCTTCTGTACAATGTGACTGATTTAGCTTTCTCCTTCTCTCAGCTTCCCAGACCACATCCAGGCCAGGTAAGTTTGATATCCCTTAAATTCCTGTGTGTCCTACCTATCTCTGCTCACCTCCAGTTTACAATCACTAATTTCAAGACGTTATTCTGGATTCTCCATGACCTTTCCTGATACCTTTACTGTAAGGAGATGGGGCCAATTGATCCAAGAACTCACCACTCCTCTTGGCTGGTTCTGTGTGATAAGAGCATGTTAACCTCAGACATGGTGGCTAAGCACTGCTTCCCTTGAGCTTGGTGAGTAACGGAGGTGATCTCTTCTCTTGACAAGACTTGCTTAGATCAGAAATTACATGTGAGAGGAGAACAGGGATTTCTCCTGTCATGCACCAAAGGAAAGGCTATGGGATGCTTTTGCCATGAAAGCAGAGGTTGATAAGAGGCCCCTTGAGCCCAGGTGCCATAATGATTCCATGTTGAGCTGTAGTCTACAAGGTCAGGTGTTCAAAACCACCAGCCACTGCATGGAAGATAGGTGGGGCTTTCTTCTTCCCCAAAGAATTACAGTCATGGAAGTTCACAGGGGCAATTCTCCCCTGCTCTATCAGGTCGCAGTGAGTGGGCATCTACTCCATGGTAGGGAGGTTCCTCTTTCACTTTCATGCCTTCTAACACTTCAGTACCGACATTGTAGACATTTAGACGCCTGATGTCTGCTTACTCCAACTGTCCAGAAGAGGTCACTTATTTTCCCAACAAACAGAGTTTCCCAAATCTTTTAGGCTTGGATTCCCAGGTAAAGGTATCCACACTCAACATGGACAACACCCATAGCCTTTTCTCACTCCCT